CTGTTTCATTAATTTGGCTTTGCATTTCACAGAAGTTACCTTTGTGCAAATTTAGATGGGATTGGGCAATGGCTTAAACACGCTTTTTTGGCAAGGGGGAAGAGAGGGGACCCACAGGCAGAAACACCAACAGACAGTGTAATTGCTTAAGCCGCCTTTCCTTAGGAAATCAGGCTGAAAATGAGTCTTTTGACAAGAGACCACCACTGAGATCTCAGATCAAGCTACAGAGACAGAAAGAAAAGTAAATCTTGCTGTTTACCATGTAGAGGCTTCCAGGTATCTCCTGCAACAGATTTCTCATAATAAAGGCTAAGCCAGCAGTCGGTGTTTACTCACTCGGTTACCTTCTCATCTTCAGCAATGTCCCCATCAGGCTTTGGGAACTTGTTTTTTTGCCAGAGTGCACTCATGCATCAGTTGCTTTCATTTATTTTTAATTTAACCTTTATACTTGAATAAATGGCTATGTAGGTAGTAAGGCAAGCTGTTAAAGAGACTTGTGTTTTACAGGACTCTGTTTATGTCAGTAATGCCATGAAAAATAAAGGCTTTAAATGCAGCCAAGGATACAATCCTGTTATTGTAGAAAGCTAGACTTGGGTGTTCCATTATGTAGCAACTTCTCTGGGAGACTTTCATTGTGTAATAAATGCTGAGGTATTTTATTGTTTTTCCCACTTTTGTAACTTTACACTAAACTCTATTACCTTAGAAACCAAAATAAACAATTTGTAAAAGGAAAAACTGGCCCATTTCAGATTTCTGGGTGGATGCCAGTTTATTACAAATGGGTCCAGCTACAAACTTTGCCGATTTGCTCGTATTTGGTTGCTGTTCTGACCTCATCTTGAGCTCTGATAGAGTTCTCTTACAAATGCCTTGCCTACCCTGTAACAGGGCAGCTGGATCCTGGAGCCCAGCCACATCGGCTGCTTGGGTCTCCTTCCAGTCACTTGGGCCTTGAAATAAGTCTGTCGTACTCCCAGATGTTAACCTTTTTCCTTGAGCTAGTTTACAGCTGGATCCATTCCCTGATTCTCTGACCCTGTCATTACAGAAATGCTGGTGCTGGAGTAAGGGAGCAGGGAGCGAGCAGTCAGTCAGGTTGAACAGGAAATGTGGGACTACCCCTCTGAAGCAGTCATCCAGGTTTACCCTAGGTTACAATGACCATGTAAAACAAAGCTTTGTATGTTGGGGGGTGGGAGGGAGAACATGCCCAGTCCCACTGTGGGAACTCGGCGATAGCCAGACCCCTCTAGCTTTTTCTCCCCAGCATGCATGGGATGCACTTTTCTCCTGACCATGAGTCATGTGGTGAGGTTCAGAGTAGCACTGGCTCCTGCTTGGTCACCTCCATGTCAGGTGGTTGGCTCTGTCTGATGCGTCGGATCACAGAGGATGGACGGAGAGGCTGTGGCCAAGTTGCAACTGTAAGGGAGATGCAGACCTTCTCTGTAGAGGAGAAATGAACCAGAGATGAGATGTGTAAGATTGCAATGCTTTGTAACCCCCAGTGGATAAATATAAAAATGGGTAAAAAATTCTTCACTGCAGAGCAAGATCGAGTGTCTTTGCACAAAGGTTTTTTGTACAGAAGCTGTAACTCTTGGGTGTAAAGCACTTGTGTGTTCGAAATACAGATGCGAGTCAATGGAAAACAAACTTTCCTGATGTGACCCCACCACCAGTGAGACCTGACGTGATTGTACCGTCCTGGGCTTAGACCAGGACCTTAAGAACAAGCAGCCGTTTAAGCTTTAATGGCCTGGTCATCTTATTTCTGACAGGGAGAGGGAGGGCCTTACTTTCTCAGAGACTTGCGTTCTGGGAACCAACCGTCACCATCCTGGGCTTAGACCAGGACCTTAGAACAAGCAGCCATTTAAGCTTTAATGGCCTGGTCATCTTCTTTCTGACAGGGAGAGGGAGGGCCTTACTTGCTCAGAGACTTGGGTTCGGGGAACCAACCGTTCCTTGTTTGCCATCAGTTGGTCCCTACCTCGTTCCTGAGTTGAAAAAAAAAGGGGGGGGGGGGGAAAAAAGTGAGCATTCACCTACAGACAGAAGAAATACTGCTTCTGTTGAGATTTTTCCCTGATGGCAGCCATTAGCTGCTTTGTTGTGCCAAGTCTCTGCTAGGGAGAGCCTCCAACCCTGACCATTACGTTACAAGTGGCCAAGTTAAAACCCAATGAAATTTGGTGATGACTGTCAAATCGTCAGAGCAATTTAAAGCAGTATGCCCTGTGGTTTCAGTGGCTCCTTCAAACAGATGCAACTAGCCGGGATTCTAACAGCAAAAAAAAAAAAAAAAAAAAAAGGGAAATACTGGGAATTGCAAAGGAATCGGAAGAAATTGGGTGCTCAGATCCCTTTCCGTTGCAATGGAATTTGCGCTGGAAATTTGTTGGCTTTTTTGACAATCTCGGCTTCGAGACTGGATGACGCTAACCCTGAACTCGGCAGCTGGCTGTGGAGTCATTGTCCGGCCGTGGCCGTGTCACAGCTCCAGTGTTTGTACCCGTTGCCCGCGCGTGAGCTTTGCCATAATTATTCCTCCGTTAAACTCTTAATCCCTTCCACTTGATTTGTCCCTTTTTGTTTTCTTCCCGTTGGCCACTTAGGAGATGGCTACGATTCCCTTTTCATTCTCCGGCCTGCCTTTGCGCTTTCCCTTCCGCCCCCCT